ATAGCCTAGGAAGAAAGAGAGACGAACTACTTCCGAATATTTAGTCACTGAAAACCTTATGAATAGGATAGAAACACTGTCAGATACAGTGCCGGAAAATGAACCCCTCAGATTGGAAGGCACTCAAAATACAACTGGGGAAGAGCTGCCTCCTCAAAGTAGAGTTGACCAAGATGACACGTATGGAGTAAAGCCTTCGGAAGTAAAGCCCTTGGGACCTTCATTTTCTGATGGGGAACAACTCAAAATGAAGAGAAACAGCAGTAAACATCCATTAATAAATGGAACATGGAATATATGAAGTATGAATATAGGAAAATTGGAAATTGTCAAAAATGAAATTGAATGCATAAACATCGATAACAGGTATTAGTGAGCTGAAATGGACTAGTATTGACCATTTAGAGTCTGATAACCACATCGTTTACTATGCTGGGAATGACAAATTGAAGCGGAATGGTGTTGCATTCGTTAAAAAAAAGCATATCAAAATCTTGAAATGAACTACAAAGCTGTCTGTGATAATATCCATGCGCCTACCAGGAAGACCTGTTAATACCACTATTATTCAAATTACACACCAACCACTAAAGCCAGTGAGGATGAAATAGAAGAATCCTACCAACTTCTTCAATCTGAAATTGATGAAACATGCAATCCGTATATATTGATAATCACTGGCAATTAGAATACAAAGGTTGGAAACAAAGGGGAAGGTTTAGCAGTTGGAAAATATGGCCTTGGTGATAGAAAAGATGTAGGAGATCACATGACAGAATTCTACAAAACCAAACATTTGTTCATTTCAAATACCCAAAATATGACCTTGAATATATCCCACCTGAATTTAGAGATCATCTGAAGAACAGATTTGATACATTAAACACTAAAGACAGAAGAAGACCAGAAGAGTTGTGGGATGGTATCAAGAATATCATATATGAAGAAAGCAAGAAGTCATTAAGAAGACAAGAAAGAAAGTAAAGATCAAAACGGATATCAGAAGAGACACTGAAACTTGCTCTCCACCATAGCGATACTAAAGCAAATGGAAGAATTGGGGATGTACAAGAGCTGAACAGAAAATTTCAAAGGTCAGCTCAAGAAGTCAAACTGAAATATTACAACAAAATGTGCAAAGATCTGGAGTCAGAAAACCAAAAAGGAAGAACATGCTCAGCATTTCTCAAGCTGGGGGAACTGAAGAAAAAATTCAAGCCTCGACTTTCATTATTGCAGAATTCTCTGGACAAATTACTGAATGATGCAGAAAGCATCAAAAGAAGATGAAAGGAATATGCAGAGTCACTGTACCCATAGGAAATGGTTGATCTTCAGCCATTTCAAGACGTAGCATATGATCAAGAGCCAATGATACTGAAGGAAGAAGTTCAAGGTGCATAGAAGGAATTGGCAAAGAACAAGGCACCAGGAATTGATGGAATAAAAATTGAAATATTTCAACAAAGTGTGGCAACACTAGAGGCACTCACTCATCTCTGCCAAGAAATTTAGAAGACACAACTATCTGGCTAACTGACTGGAAGAGATCCATATTTGTGCCCATTCCAAAGAGAGGTGACCCATAAGAATGCAGAAATCATCGGACAATCTCTTTGATATCCCATGTAAGTAAAGTTTTACTAAAGGTAATAAAGAAATGGCTGCAAGCATACATTGACAGAGAACTTCCAGAGATTCAAGCCATGTTCAGAAGAGGACATGGACTGAAGGCTATCACTGCTGACATCAGATGGATCTTGGCTGAAAGCAGAGAATACGAGAAAGATGTTTACCTGTGCTTTATGGACTATGCAAAGGCTTGTATCATGACAAGCTATGGACAACATTGTGAAGTATGAGTATTCCTGAACACTTAATTGTGGTCATGAGGAACCTGTACATAGACGAAGAGGCAGTTGCTCAAACAGAACACGGAAACTCTGAATGGCTTAAAATTAGGAAAGGTGTGCAACAGGAGTGTATTCTTTCACCATACTTATTCAACCTGTATGCTGAGCAAATAATCCGAGAGGCTGGGTTTTAGGAAGAAAAATGTGGTAACAGGATCAGAGGAAGACTCATTAACAACCTGCAATATGCAGATGATATAACCTTGCTTTCAGAAAGTTAAGAGGACTTAAAATACTTCCTGATGAATATCAAAGACCATAGCCTTTGGTATGGATAGCGTCTCAATGTAAAGAAAACAAAACTCTTCACCACTGGACCAATAAACATTATTTTTATCAATGGAGAAAAGATTAAAGTTGTCAAAGACTTCATTTTTCTTGAGAAACCCCCAGGACTACTGTCCTCAACTACCCTTTAAATTGGAACTGAATGAAGCCAGTCTTGGAGGTCACTTATAGCCAAATAATAGACTGACTTCTATAAAGTAGTGGAATCCTGATGTGGCACTGTAGGTTAATGCGCTGGAATACAAGGTTGCTTTGAACTGCAAAGTTGGCCATTCAAGCTTATCAGCTTGTCCTTGTAAACCCTATACTGGGTTGCTGTAGTCTGTACCTACTCCATGGCACTTAACAAACATATAAAATAGTGAGCTCTAGTAGTGTTGTGCTTATGACTCTGGTTTGTAATCTCAAGGTCAGCAGCTGGAAACTACCAGTGGTTCCATGAGAGAAAGATGAGGCTTTCCGCTCCTGTGACAATTTACAGCCTCAGAAACCCTGTACAGGGTTGCTATAAGTCAGAAACGACTCCACAGCACATAACCACCAACCTCCATATAAAATAAAATATAACATCTATGAGGAATGTGTTCCTTTAAACAATCAACTATGTAAAATCAAACAGTCAACATTTACTCAAGAGCAAAGATGAGAAGACAAAAGAGGGGCAGGGAAACTGAAGCGATGGAAACAGGGAAGGCCAGGTGGAAAGGAGCGGATGCTGACACACTGCAGAGACTGTGAGCAGTGTCACAGAACAGGATGTTTATGAATCACTCAGTGGGAATCTAATTTGCTATGTAAACTTGCACCTAAACACAGGAATACTTTTTTTTTAAAGGTAGTATATGGGAGCAGAAGATTCGGGCTCCTGGTTCTTCTGCTAATTAACCTGAGTAAACATTTAATGTGTCTGAGTCTCTGTTTCCTCATCTGTGAAATGGGGAGCTTCGAAGCTAGCTCAGGAGACAGTATGAGGACATAATGAAATAATCTGTGAAAAAGAGCTCTGTAAACAATGAAGTTCCATATAAGTGAAGGTCTGGCTGAGCAGCGTGCTCTTTTAAGAACTATCTAGATCGGATCAAGTTGACAAAAGCAACTTGAAAGCTTAGAACCTGAGTTCATGTGAATGGGGGAGGAGCCAGTCATTAAGGGAGGAGCCACTCATTAAGGGAGAGTGAGAATGGCTATGCAGCTTGAAGACTATAATCAATGTCACTGAATTATACATGCAGAAACTGAGGTATACGTCCTGCTGTCTATATTCTCAACAAGACCAATTCAATAAACAAAAGCATAAAATAATAATAATAATAAAACATTGTTGAGTCAACAGAAAGCAGAAGCCTCTCCTGGGTTAAATCCCAGTCTTCAGCCAAACAGTCATGTAAGCTTTTCAGGAAAAGCCTCTTAAATAGGAAGCATAGAATCACAAAGGAAATCTTTCAGTTTATTTCAATGTTTCCTATAGATAGGGATTTTAACCCCTCACCATCACTCTTCTTGAAAATCTTGAGGAGAGGGGTTTTCTGAAATGGCCATCTCTTCCCTGGCCTCAACAGCCTCATTTTTAGCTCTAATTTTGGAGAAGGCTCTGTTTTCCCTCCATTCCCAAACTTCCTGACTCACGGACTCAGCACATCAGTGCACAACACTTGGCCTGTGGAGTCTCCACACTGATGCTGGTCAGTGACGCTCCTCTGCAGATGGTGCCTCCCCATGCTAATCAGAGGCTTTCAACTGAGCTAGCACACAAATGCTCTTGGGGAGAGGACATCCCACAATGCCTACTAGCTTGGTTAGTTATCACAGACAGCTAGGTAACAGAATGACAGCCAGAAGAACAGACACACAGGGAATATGGCATGTATGAACTTTTGACAGGCCCTAAGAGTGGTGGGGTGGGACGACAGAGAACGTAGAAAGGAGTTGGTGAGGATCCCAAAGACAAACTCATGACTCCCTCAGTTCTGCCTAGAGTTCACCCACACACAGATGCAATGCTCACACTCACAGCCAAAGAGTGGGTGTAAAGAAAAGGGTACTGGGCTTGTTGGGTGGGGAAGAAGGAAAGATCACATATGTATGGGAAATGAGGGGCCTGGCTGAGAAACAATAGGATGATGGGTACTGGGAGGGAACAGAAAAGGAAAAAAAGATTACAAATAAAGTCCAGATGCCACTGTTATTGGTATTTATGGTATTATAATGCAGTGCGTTCCACATTAAATTACTAAAGCGCCTTAAAGAAAAATCTCTGTAAGAAGATAACAATTTTCTATCTTGAGAAAGCATAGACCTGGAAAGCCTATACATAGCTTGCTGGTAAGTGGAGCTATAAAGACCTGAGTGTGAATCTGAAATCCGTTTGCTATCAACTGTGGGACTGCGGGGGAGCTGCCTAACTGTACTGTTTCCTCACCTACCAGACACAACATGCCCTGGCAGGGTTAAAATACGATCATGTATTAAACAGCTTTGCAAAATACCCCACACAAGCTCAATATATGTTACCATGTTTTAAAATTCTATCAAATGTAAGACCCTCTTCAGGTCTCTTCCTTCAGTTCTAGCAGTTCTTGCAGTTTGGCGTGCAGAGCAGTAAACATTCCATTTTAGGACTCTGCACACTAGTCAGTAGGTGGACACCATTTTACTTGACTGTCATACCCGTGGTTATTCTTTCCAGAGTCTGTTTTCACAAAGGTATTCGGCAGGTTTGAGGGCAGGGGAAAGGAGAGGAAATAAAGAGGTGTGAGAAGCAAATTCTGGTTCAGAATAGACCTCACTGAGCACACTCACCGAGTCTGGGTCTCGCTGCTGTTCCAGAAAGGCTGAAAATTCCACCAGGCGAAGTTTGGTTGTGCCAATGGAGCGGCCCTGCCAGGCAGGGACCAAGGGAGCTGGGGCTGACGCAGGCTCAAATCCTGAAAGACCAATCGACATTTTAATACTGGCCACCTGCCTTACCTCAAGCTAACAATGGGGCAGGGATCTTTATGAAACAGATGACCCAGAAGGTAAGGTCAATAGCTTGCAATGAAACTAAGTTATCAGACTGGTGTGATTCTGAACGAGGACCCCAGACAGTGACCACACGTGCTCTTCAGAAAGCCAACTTTAGCTAATAATCTGGGCTGTGGCATGTCTTATAGGAAAGAACCCATAGGAACTGCCTACAATGAGACAGCGGAGACCAGAAGACATCTGCTCTCAAACCACCTAACAACGACAGGACAGTCAGAAGTGGATGTTTCCAAAGATTTCTTATGAGACCCTGACATGCTGGATGTTCCTTTTGTCTGTATTTCTTGTTTTTTACGACTGTGACTTCCAGCACTATGGGGTACTCTCTCAGAATGCACCATGGTAGTGGAGCAGAGGGCAACCTTGAAAATATTTTCACTTTGGGGACTTCCATGGAGAACAGAGGTCTTTATACTGTACCTCGAACACTCTACTGAACAACCCTATGTGCACATGAGTCAGCATGGAAAGGAGGGAGACAAAGGCAAGCTGGCTGGAGACATGCTCCCTGTTCTGAGTCTTCACAGAATACACTTGTCTTAGAAGGGGTGAGTAAAACCACCATCTGCCCTCAAGACTAGGGTCAGGCTTGGGGCCAAGACTTTCCCACTTCTGCTTTTATTAATGATGAGGAAGCAGCCATGGGCACTTCCCCTTCTAAAGATGGCACTGTGTCCTTAGTGAAAGTGACAGGCTTCCTGCTCCTGGAGAAGCCATCGGCACTTCCTGGAGATGACTGGACATGGCCACAACAGCAGCCCTGTGACCTGCCTGAGTTCTGGGCTAAACCTTGCCTTAGGTAGGCTGGGACATGGAGAGGGCCACCTTGAGTTCGGGAACAAGGTAACGGGCCCCATGGTCAGCTGTGTCTGCAAGCCCCTAACCTGAGAAAACTCACCTGGAATGGGGGCCGAGACTGCTGGCTGGATGGGGTAGGCCTGCTGCACAAAGGGCTTGACGCTGGGAACACAGAGGTGAGAGTCAGACATCAATATTGCACCAGTGACTTCTTGTCAGAGCCGGTCTTGGCCTCCCGCCACCCCCCAGCTACAGACCCGCCTGCCCTGAGGTTCCCTGCCTACAGGTGCTAACAGGCAAAGCTCTCTCCTAGTGACAATGGCTGGGGAGATTAGAGGAATCAGGCTCTTGTAGGGCTGGGTGGGCAACCTTAAGTCTGACTTCTGTGTGCTATTATGTCTGTCTTTGAGCCTCTCTTCTCATCCTGGCAGAGACTAAGGTCAGCAGTCAATGTCACCAAGCAAGGCTGGGACATACTTCAGGCCATCCTTCAAGCTAAGTAGCTCAAAATTCTTCCTTTCTGCTTTCCCCCTGAAAACTGCACTTATTTTCCAGAGTACTGAGCTTTGCCTCCGTTGTCCCCAAATTTCCTATTAGCAGCTCCTACCACAGGGTTAGCCAGAATAGAATGGACTGCTGACTGCCCCACTCAGGCAAGGCCACCTCTAGGAAGACACCAGACTCTGCCATTCAGAAGCACAAATAAACAGGGGCTGACTTCCTGTTTCCAGCTAGGACACCCCCAGAAACTCTTTTGTCTCTAATACTGAAGTGGGAGCAAGGTGTTTCAACAGCTCCTGGCTCTGAGAGATCAACCTCTTCTTGCTATTGGTCTCAGTAGTCAGGTTCACTCTCCTTTCTCCTCTAAGCCCATGGCAGTATGATCCACGGGAGAACTCTCCCCGCAGTGGGCTGTGGTGAGCCCTTGTAAATGACAGCCCCTCCGCAGACTTACTCTTGCGAGGATCCCGGCTGCCCTGTTTGTATCATTCCCGGCCAGAACTGGAAGGCAAAGTGCAAGAGGCTTCAGGATGATGGATTCACTTCAAAGACCAGCTCAGGTCATCTACACATAGTCACCCTGGCAAAAGGGCAGCAGATCCCGACCACCCCACAGGCTGCCTGATCTACCATCTCTGAGGGCAGATACGATCATCTCTGCCCACTAGGTTTGGACCTACAGCCTTGGCCTGGCAATTCAGGCTTCCCCTGTGCATCTCTTTTCTGGAAACCTCCTTGAAGGCAGGGCCCAGGCATCGCTCTATGTCCTCATTACACCTAGCAGAGATCTGAGCCTTAGACTGCTTTATTCATCCTTCTCTTCCTCTCTCCATCCTGAAGTTCCTCCAGCTCACAGCATGGAAGGGCCACCGGGGAAGAGGACCAGGAGCTCAGAGAAGCAATGCAGCCACCTCCTTTGCTGTGTTGTGTCCTTCAGGCCTTTAGTGCCAGCCATGCCAGTCAGAGAGGCTCTATGACGTAAAGGAAGAAAACAGGCTCCGGAGTCACACAGCCGGGGTATGAATTTGCTTCACTATCTATTTGACTAGACCTTCAGTGAGACAGACTGACTGACACAGGGGCAGCAACAATGGGCTCAAACATGGCAACAACTGTGAGGATGGTGTACAGGCAGTGTTTCCTTCTGGTGGACACAGGGACTCAAAGGCACCTAACAACAAAGACTGAAAAACTCAACCACCTATTTTATTACTAAGCAAGCTCTGTTTCCTGGTCTGTAAAATGGTACAGAGGCATTTGTGATTCTTCTGAGGAATAGCTGAGATTATAAACTTCAACCCTTGGTAGGTGTTAAATGAATATGTTAATAGATCACTTTGTCCCCTTAGTGGACTGCTGCCCTTAGGTGACCCTGAGAACACAGACACAGAGACCAAGGGCCAGGAAAAAGGATGAGGCACACAGAGATCCAGAAAGGCACTGGAAAGTGACTGACCCTTTGTTTTTTCCATGATCTTTCTGCACTAGGATTCCCTCTCCTCCTCCTTCCCTTTCTCTCTCTGCCTCTCTTGTCCTTCCTCACCTTCCCTCACCCTCTTCCTTCTCTCTCCCCTTTCCTCCTCAGGTTCACCTTCTTCTCCCTGTCTCCTTTTCCCCACCTTGACCATTACCACTGTGCACACCTGGCAGAGCATGGTCTTTCCTCTCATTTACACGTGCTCAATTCACAGGAAGTGCTTAGTGGAAGGTTTACTACTGGCCTACACCTCCCACCTCACCCCCCCACCCCACCCCAACCCCCCCGTAGCAGCCATGGCTACGGATTCAGCACATGTGACTTACCCCCGGTGCCCCCGGAAAGGGTGGGCGTGGAATTCCAGGCAGCCCCAGCTTGTTGTGAATGGCAGTGGCTGAGACTATCTGGGCTGAGGACATGGCCGCCATGTGTTGCAGGGCCTTATCCTTTGCAGTCTGATCCTTGAATGTGACAGTGACACATGGATTTAATATACAAGACATGACCACCATGCAGGTCACACAGGCACAGCCACGAGCACAGGGGCTAAAATACAGTGCCACACAAAAGGCCAAAAAAGCACACATGCACTGATGACTGGATACAGCTAAAACAGACTCAGCTCTGAACATGTACTGAGAATACCCAGCGGCAACATTTCTAAACATATATTTTTAACTGCACTTTCAAATGGAATAGGAAGCTTCTGTGAAGAATGGCCATCGTATTTATCTATTTCCAGCTTCCGAAGGGAGATTCCTCCATCAATTACGTATCGCATTCAAAGGAAAAAATAAAGGTCCTTCTTTTAGCATACAGTCTTTGAGTGGGAGAGGAGATGTGGGCGTGGACTGGGGGTAAGACCACCCCCATAGCAATGGAAAACTGTGTGTGTGGGTGCTGTCACGTGGCCAGGTCCAGGAGCTGCTGGAGTCACACGAGGCCCGGAAGCCCTGCAGACCACGGTGGCTCGAAAGCAGCAGGTGGACAGGGAAGGAGGGTAGGGCCAAGCGCATGCTGGCGGGCGCATGCTCAGTATCCCCGCTGTGGCTCTGCAGCTACCAGGGTTCTTTCTAAAGCCAAGGATGAACAAGATTCTACAGGAGGCACGTAGTTTCTCCTTTTCCTAAATGGGTCTTTTCTAGACAAGCCAAGGCTGATAACACAAAGCTAGCCAAAACGTCTGCCAAGCACAGCTAAAATGCAGAATACTCTTGTTTGGTGAAAATACTTACCATGCTTGTTACCTGGATACAATAATAAACAGTTTGTTAAAATGATTTTGTACAAAGGCAGGATTATTTTTCTTCTTCAGTTAAAAAGTATTTAAGTATCCACATAATACTTGGGTACAATAAAATGTATGCGGTTCTTCTCCCCACATTAGAGGAGAATACTGGATCCAGATGGAGTAAACTAGAAGGATACCCAGTTAACAGCCAGAATCAAAAACTACCCCCCAACTCATCTGAACTGCTACAGTGGCTTCCCCAGGGAAGATGGAAAAATGGTCAGACCCCCAGGTGTGATGCAGGCCCTGCTGGTACAGGTAGGATTTCATGCTTGGTAAACATGTGAAGGTTCCCGGCTGCTAGCAGAAGGTCTCTATAGTCAGCCAGGCTGGAGTCCTTCCTCCTTTAACCTTCAAGCAGAAATAAAACAGTGGCACCAGAATAAAGCGCCCTTCCCTGCTGCCTTCTGGGAGTGGAGAGAGTGAGTCCAGGGAAGCTTCAGGCTAAGACACTGTGAGCATCAGCTGAGAGGCTGCTTTCAAGGTTTACAGATTTAACCAAACGTGACGAATAAACACACAGAGGTGCCAAAGGCAAGGTCAAAAGAAGAAGTTAAGAAAAAGAAAAAGAAAAAGAAAAAGAAAAAGAAAATCAAATCCTATAACACAACTTGCAGCTCTGGTAGCACAGTGATTACAAGTCAGGCTGCTCAACTCAAAGATAGCAGTTCAAAACTACCAGTCCTTCTGCAGGAGAAAGATGAGGCTTTCTGCTCCCATAAAGATTTTACAGCCTCAGAAACCCTATGCAGGGTGGCTATGAGCCAAAACCATGTTACACAACCAGCACCATAATACAACTACTAAAGGTTTCTAAGAAAGGTCTATTAGGTGGCCCTAAGGTGGGAGGCACCACTTGGTCCCCTAATGACCAGAGAGCACAATCTGAATTTTCAGGAAGCTTACGTTAGCCCTTGAAACAAAGGTCTAATACTTAAACACATTTCTATAAGACTTAATGTATTTCTCTGAGTGTCAACATAAAAATGACAATGAGTTTCATGTAACAGCTTTTCAGTGGCACACCCCATCTCTAAGCACATGTGCTGAATTGGCACTTGGAAGGATGTGGGATTAGTGGTCCCCCACAAATGGTCCTGGGGGACTCTTGAGTGATGCTGTTGCTGTCTCTGCTATCTTCTTCTCAAGCAAAAGCATTCTTGAAGTTGAATGTCCCTTCACTAATCTGTAGACTGCTCTAACTTACAGCCAGCTTCTTCAGTAATGTTTTTCTTTAGGTCTGAAAACATTTCAGTTTTGAGGATGCCAGAAGAAAACCAATCTTGAGGTAGATGGAGTTTTGTGAATTCACCTGATGGGGAGTGTGCTCGCATGCTAAAGCTGAATTGAATCCTAAGCATGTCAACCTCACTGTCCCAGTGAATCCACTCTTAGCTGGTCCTGTGGCTTCACCAGATACCTGTGCTATCCCTTTCCTCAGAGGGCAAACTGTGTATATATAATCCAGAAAGCACACTTGGACAAAGAATACTGACATTAATGTGAACTCACCAACTCCTCCTTTGGACCAATCATTTTAGATTCTAGTCCCAAAGGAGTAGATATAAATGCTCTCAAGATGGTTTCTAAATGGAAGTAATAGTACAAGTCTGACCAATGGACTTTATCCCTGCAGAAGAAGCCTTTAAACTTCTCTAGGGCTCAAGCTGGAGGAGCTTGGAAAATGGCAGCTGAGACTCCTTGCTGGCTTAACTGACTTTAGTCAGAGGAATAACTACAACTACAGCACCATGATGAGTCACAGCCCGGGGCTGCATGTCTATGAACTGCTGATGTCAAGTGGGGAACAGTGATTCTGCTTAGCCACAGAGAGTTTTACTACACACAAGGGTGGGGCAATTCATGAAGCGAAAGTTCACGCCAAAATGCAAAGTAGCTCCCTGTATCCATAAACACTGGACTATGAACCACAAGGTCCACGGTTCTAGCGTACCAGCCACTCCAAAGGAGAAAGATAAGGCTTTCTGCTCCTGCAAAGATTTAAAGCCTTGGAAACCAGATACAGGAGTAGTAAGAGTAGGAACCAACTTAAAGGGATTTAACTACCCTTTGCTAAAATTTGACTGAAGAATTGTTTAAAATGTTTGCAACACTTTGCTATTTTTCTTTTTTGCTAGAGATATTAGTCAGTGAAGAAAAGGAGTAATCATCTTTGCTGTTTATGTCACACATCCTCAAAACGTGATCTTTTGTAAAATAAACAAGGTCCGGTTCTTGTTACCCAGTACCCAAGCAGATATCTAAAAAGACAACACAAATTCAAAAGCAGGAGCGCAAAACTACTGTTTCTATGTGCTTGCTTTCTGACCATAAGCGGTCCATTTTCTGGGGAGAATCAAATCTGCCCCTGACCTCCACAAGCTGCAGTGACCTTGAACAAATCATTTAACACAGTCTTTACCTATAAAATTAAGAGCTCCACTTGACTCTTTAAAGCCCAGAATACAATCTCTGTAGCCATGAGTGTGAGATCCATTATAAGCAAAACGTCTAAATACGTACAGCTGAAAACGTACTAATGAGAAGATAGGAAGATGTTAAAATGTGGGCAGCACTCAGCTACCTGCCCTGATAGAGAGAATACCAAGTGCAGAGAGGAAATTTTATCTCAAGTACAGGTTCTTTCTGCACTTGACCTACCTATTTGAGAATAGGCAATTTTCTGCAAATGGACTAGAAATGTCTACACCAGTGATTTCCTACCTTTTGTCGTAAAGACACCCTGACCACTCACTTCATTTCCAACACCTCCCCTTCATATATGATCTACATTTGAAATTTTAGAGGATTAGAAATTTTTGTGTAAAATCTAAAGTAACCTTGGAGATATTAAGTACCACCCCAGAGATATTGTGGCATCAGAGCTAAGAGCTTGGCTGTAGACCCACTTATCTTGAAATGGGAGTACAGAAGGGGACTGAGCTAAGAGATTTCAATGGCAGGATCTCTAAATTGTCATTTTCAGCCCAGAGATACATGCCTGGCTTTGAAAAAAATTATAACTCTAAATGTCAGCCCTGAGTAAATTGCTTCTCTTGTGTTGCTCTGGTCTAACAACTTGGCTATGTGAACATTCCTTGTCTTTCCTCACTCCTCACCCCCAGACTAAAAGGGGGCTTCATCTGCATATTAAAGAACATATGCCATACATTTGTATACCATATTCATTTCATTCTGAGGTGTTTTCACACCAACACTTCTGAGAGGTGGATACAGTCAGCAAAGGATGAGCACGTTAAACTGTGATCTTAAAGAAGTGTACTGAAGTTAAGTAAGGTCTTCTGGTTCAGTGCCACTGGGATTTTTCGGACTCACAGTGACCCAACAGGACAGAGCTGAACTAACTCAGAGGATTTCCAAAGCTATAAATCTTTATGGAAGTTAAAATGCCCCATTTATCTCCCCTGGCTTGGCTGGAGGATTCGAACTGCCAACCTCCCAGTTAGCAGATAAGTGTTTAACACTGTGCCAACAGTTACAGGAAATAACACTGTGTGTGTGTTTTGTGTGTACATATAATCATGTGTGAACAACAAAAGACAATGAGTACCAGAAAAAAGCCTGGTTATAGTCCTTGCTGTTGCTAAGTGCTGTTGAGTTGGTTCTGACTCATAGCAACCCTGCATAGGGGTTTCTGAGGAGCGGCTGGTGGGTTTGAACCATCAATCTTGTGGTGAGCAGTCCAGTGCTTCTCCTATAGTGCCACACCAGGAATCTGGATAAGTTTGTACTGACTCTTATTATTGATTTTACCACTCCCCATTCCTATGATTACAAGGAATGAGGCTGATGATGACCCGGAAAACGGTGAGTACTTTTACATCAGGAAACATGAGTCTAATGCTGACTGAAAGGGGGCAGGGGCTGAGAACAAATGGCTCATCTGACTGGAGCTTGGGGCACATGCCTCATTTACCCCACTTTCTTCACTCTCCAACTTCTGGCACACCACAGGTGTCAGTGGCTTCACTTCCCTCACTACACTCAGTCCAGCAGGCTGTGTCACGCATAAACTCCTCAGCCTGAAGCCTTTCAAACTGTTATAGTTACTAAGTAAACAGGCTTTCCATATTTCATGAAGCAGAGCATGGCTGCTGCTACACTGACTGCCTCCGTTTTATGGCTGAAATGTACACACTGTTTGGAAAATGTCTACATGTAATATACATGACAGGAAGGCAGTAATATTAAAAATGCACATGGCTCCAGGACTTTCTATGAATCAGCCTCTGGATGTTACGGGCACCTTGTTTCCCACTCTCCACTCTGTTTCTTTAGCTTTGGATTATTCTGGGAAATCAATTCTCTCATAATTTAGACACTGGTGGTTATGTGCCGTGGCATCAGTTCCGACTCATAGCGACCCTGTACAGGGTTTCTGAGGCTGTAAATCTTTA